ATTGTCCCCCCCCCTGGAAAAAGATCTGACTAGTGACGATATCGGGGCAAAGTATAAAACATATAAACCAAACACGTTAAACGTATATAAACTTACAGCTATTGAAAATCTGCCCCCCTGGGAAAAATCTCTCGTTACGCCCATGGTGACGTGTTCACAAGCAACTGTTTTTATATTTGTATGAAGTATAGTTATTCAATCAAATTGAATATTAAAATGTGTTAAGGAAGATTCAATAAATTCCTCCAGTAATTGATAGAAATTACTAGATGTAAATCGCGACTTAGATCTTATTGGATTTCATCAGTACGTAATAGTGATCCATGCCTTGTAGTTTCGATAAATTACTAACCAAGATTATAATCCGTTCATATTGATTTCGTAAACGTACCTTTCATATGATTACATATAAGTATAAGCAGATGAATTTTCGATTCGTTTCAGGACAAATAGACACCTAAACATTAGTGAAGTCGTTTTTTATAAGATTTGGAATAGATACTTCAGTTAGCACCAAATTCAATAGATTACGATATACCACTGTCACTCGATATATGGAGCATCTTCGGCATGGTCTAGAGCAAGGATCGGCAAATATTTAAGCTATCCGCAATAAAAGAATTGTTTCATGAATTTCAAAGAGCCACAAACTTTTTAATATATGGTATTATCCTAAACAAGACTGAAATTATATTCAAAAATCAATGCGAAAGGTAACCTTGCATTTCTCTAAAAAGTTTTGGTAAATCAGGCACATAACTGTAGTCGTTTTTAGTTTAAGTATTGGCTGTAAATTTTGATTAGTTATTTGGCTTCTTAGCTTGTTCTTTATTAGGTTCATAGAAGAGAAAACTTGGGCGAGCGAATATGTTGACCCAAAGAATGTTAGAACACTAAGAGCCTTTTTTTGCCATAGCACTCCGGAAAACTATTATAAATATCTAAAATTAGTGCCGCAGGCTTAGGCATTCCTTTTAGAGCTGTCAAATTATGCTGTGATATCAAAACAAATTTCTGCTCTTCCAAGCTAGTATTTAGACTCGTAAATTCTCCATCTTTGCTTTTTAAATCTAGTAATTGGATTTCAAAAGAAACACCATTGAAATTAAATGGATTAAAACTGAATTCTTTGCTGTTTGCTTTGAGGGGATTCTCAATGAAAGCCGAGATAGGCTTATTTATTTCGTTCAGCAAAGTCATCCCTCATTGTTTTGAACGTTCTTGTGAAGTAACCATCAGTATCAACAGAAGCACTTTTTCCATCCCGATGATTCCTTAAGATTTGGAAATGTAGTAATGTGACCATCTCCATATTTTCTGCCAAAAGAAACAATTTGTCTTCAAAATCAATTTCTTCTTGCAGTTATTCAAATGTAATGTTTCCTTTTGCTTGCAACCTTAGATTCAGTTCGTTGAGATGCATTGTAACGCCAATCATATTGTAGCGTCTCTTGTTTCAGGTATACGTATGCTTCTTAATCTTTTTAAGGGGACATTACAATTTTTTATTGAAAGAGCCGCATGTAGTTTTTCTACCACTGGCCTAAAGGTTTACGGTACGCAATTCGCAAGAACACCAGTTCAATTCTTGGTCCGTCTGCCCTGATCCAAGACTTTCTGCGGTGACCTTGGAACAAATAGGCGACAAACGCTGGTGCAGTAATCATATTCCCGAGATAATCATTCACCTCTCTTCTGTCTTAATTTCGTCGCTGTCATTTCAATCATCTCAACCACCACCTACTCATTCCTCGATTCCTAAGAGGAGGTTGAAGAGGAGGGCCTTACGCCCTACATACCGGCACAGCCCGGTCAATGAAACTTTTTACGTCTTCGGCCAGTAGGTATTTTGTCAAGACTAGTCATAACATGTTGATGAGATCAAAAATAATCCATCCATGTCTAGTAATTTCGACAAATTATTAAGCAAGAACCCAATCCGTTGTTATTAATTTGGCTTTGGTGTTTTTCACGTACATGTTTAAACCAATTCGCCGTCAGCTTTTTGTAAAGGACTTATGTAGTAATTTAAAATATTTCTGTTAGCAGTAAATGTCAATAGATGGCGACATATTGCCATAACTCAATGTTACACTGATGATAAGATGCCTCAAGACAAGTATAGATTTGGGCATAATTTTTGTATAGTTTGAAATTGATCTCGACTGTTAATAAATAGAACAACATATAATACATGAATTTTAAAATAACGAAATTAAAAAAAAATAAAGGAAAAAATTGGTAATTAAAAAAAGCAATTGTCTCACAGATAAATAATCGTAAATGAAAGCTACCTGTTGTGGTCGTCGTATAAGCCGACGTTCTGTGAGCGGTGATAAGTGCGTGGGCGTGGTGTAGGTTAGCGTGTTGCCCGGAGAGAATTCCATGCAGTAAGGCCCTTGAACTGGTATTGTCAGGCCGATGGTGTTTCGAGGGTGGCGGCGAATCAGATCCTGGCAGGGGAGGGTAACCTATTTCACTGTTGTCAACTGTAACAAAAAAGAACAAGAGATTGAACGTTACTCTATTTTGCAGGAAATTAGTTAGTAGATTATTATAGTTTCTTACTGTTTTTTTATTAATAAAATGATGCAGAAAAAAGAAATTTCATTTATGCCTTATCCACTCAAACTATTAGTAACAGCAATTGTAAATAATGTCGGTTAGCATACAATAAACATACACACAAAACAGCTTTTCGGCAAAAATTGACTCAGAATAGGAAAGAGTGGACATACATGTCCAACCAGTGTTAGGACTGACGAGCTTATGATGATGAGCATATTAAGATGATTGAGGATCACATGTCTTCAATGCAGCTCAATTTTCTTTAAATTACTGAAATTTCCAATTTTTATCAAAGAAAAATCAATACTTTAAGAGAGGGAACAGACTTTTTAAAGTATGGATGTTTTTCATATTATCGAAAGTATTTTGTTTCATTTAAAATTTATGATTTATTTAGAAAAGGTTATTCCAAAAAGGAATATCTATGCATTATATATGAAATGAATAAAAATGGAAAATTTCCTATTGTACAATAATAAAAATATGTTGAAAAGAGACTCTTACCCTAGTTACCACTGAAATGTTCACTGCGGACACGTGTTTCGCCCACTTTTAATGTGAGCATTACGAAGGCCGGATTGACTCTTGCGTGGGCAAAACACGTGTTCGCAATGAACACTTTTAGTGGTAACTAGGATGAGTCCCTTTTAAGTATATTTGCTCCTTTGCCACGGTCTCCAGTTTCTTATTTTTATAATAAAGACGTTCGTTTTTGTTTCTTCTTACGTTGGACAACAAAAATCCAAGCTGGAAATCAGTTTCAGCATCGTTTCACCAAAATATTTCGAGGATAACTAGCAACTCATTGACAAAAATAAAAATCGGAAATTATACCAAAAAACCACAGCCAACTCTAACTACTTCCACGTGTGTGTGCGTGCGCGTAGTATTTACCGGAAGGGAAAGTTCCCTTGACCCAAATGGAATTCATAGACGACAACTTGTCTGTGTGTGTAGGTATATGTTTTGTATGTATGTACCACGTCTCATTATATACTGTTCAGATATACATATAAAGAAAAGTAAGAACAAACATATAGAAACATCGATTCAGTTCGAGGCAATACACCAATAGATCGAGGTTATTTATACACATTTGTACCTACTTACACACATATAAACAACAACAACAAAAATAGCAATAGCATTATATCCTTTTATATACATGAGAACACTATGGTGTTTACAAGAAGCGAATTACCATCATGATGAGATTCGATTTTGTTTGAACTGAATAAAAAGTGAGCAGCAACAACAAACAAGAGAGTGTGTAAGTCTTGTGTTACATAACCGAAAACTAGATGGTGAACTCCTTCAGTGTGAATCGACCGACAGATCGACGCAAGTTGGTTACCATTTATGGCCGAAAACGAGCCGTAATAAATATGCGTTTTCGTTTTTATTACAGCGAAGTGAGGAAGGTCGATTTACTTGCGAAATCACACTTGTTAATAACACATAAGCATCAACAACGTGACTGATTCATTGACTTCGAAGTTAATTGGTACAAGGTATGGGCAATTTTATTTTGAAAGAAAGTTCCAAAATACCTATTTACAATATGATGACACAAATTTATACATAATTAATCCAAAAATATGTAGTAGCAGCATTTATGGTATAAGGATGTTTGGGAGGTACAATCGGAGACAAGGGTATATAAAATTAGAAATTCGTGATTAATTAGGTTTTGCAGCATATCATGAGGTAAATAAATACTATCTATACTAATTAAAGTGTACGGTTTGAG